GCTTGCAGGGAAACCTGTCCCTGGGCCGCCGGGGAGGAACCGGAAGGAGGCGGCCGCAGGTCTGTCTGGTGATCGGCGCAGACCCCTGCACCCTCCCCGGGACAATGTCACGCGTGTCCCCGCCGACGGTCGCAATCAGACCTGCGGGTTCCCGCCCCCTGCCGGGGCGCATCGGCTCCCGGCCTCCTGGAGAGACTTTCCTCAGCGATGTTTCAAACATCGCTCTTCTCCTACAAGCTGATTGTTCTCGAAAGCTGATTAAAATGTATAAGAGGAGGGAGGCGCCGCTATTAGCACAGCGCATGCCGGACACTTTACATGATTGTCAAGGACCTGGACGGTGGCACTCAGATCCAAGAGCTGCGGTGCCCCCCCGCCCCCCGCCCGTCCCCACCGGGACCACAGGCTCACCGGCTCCTCAGCGTCGAGTTGCCAGGTGTTCTGTAGGTGTTGGGACTGAACAGCGGATGGCCCTGCACACCTGTCACAGCCCTGCCATGGGCCATGCCCTGGGGACCCCAGGAGCCAGGCTGCCTCACCCGGGCCCCTGGCTGGCTGGGGCGGGATGGGTGGGGAGGTGCCCGAGCTGGCTGCCCGGGGAGGGCTCTCCGGCTAACTCTGCCCAGCTCCGTGTCCAGCATTCCCTGTCCGCGCCTGACGCTCCCTTTGTTCAACGTATCCTTGAGCGTCTTAGTCTTTCTGAGGCCACTGTACATGCAATTGCCTCCTTTAGATCATTTGCTACCAGGGTAGAGAAGCGCAATTGATTTTGTGTATTGATCCTGCGTCCAGCAACCTTGCCGGGCTCCTTTATTAGCTGTGCGCGTGTGTATCACTCTAAGACGTCCTCGTAAAAGGTCAGGGCAGCCGTGGAGAGTTTGGGACGATTTTCAGTTATTTTTTCTGCCCAGGCCCTGTTCTCACCGCCAGGGCCTCGTTGAACAGCAGCGTCGAGGGCAGAGGTCCTCGCTCGCTCCTGATCTTGGGGCGGAAGCATCCGTCTCCCTCCACCGAGTGCCACGTCACCTGCCGATGTCCGCAGAAGCCCTCTGTCACCCCGAGTTCTCTGTCTACCCCAGTGTGCAGAGAGTTTTTATTGGGAAAGACTGTTGGACTCCGTGAAACGCTTATTCTGGGACTACTGAGATGAGATGTGAATTTGGTCTTTATTCCGTTAACATTACATTTATTGATTTTCCTACATTGATCCAAACCTTGTATCCTTGAGACAAACCCCAGCTGGTCATAATGAGCGATCCTTTCAATATGCACCTGGACTAGGTTCTCTAGAATTTTTAAAAAATATGTTTTTATTGATTTAGGGAGAGAGGGAGGGAGAGGGAGAGAGAAACATCAGTGATGAGAGAGTCACTGATCGGCTGCCTCCTGCACGCCCCCGACTGGGGATCGAGCCCGCAGCCCGGGCATGTGCCCTGACCGGGAATTGAACCTTGATCTCCTGGTTCCTGGGCCGACACTCCACCGCTGAGCCATGCTGGCAGGCGGTTCTCTAGTGTTTTGTTGAGGATTTCTGCATCTGTATTCATAAGACTTGTATTTTCTTGTGAGGTCTTTGACAGAAACTTTTGGTATCAGGGTAACACAGGCCTCATAGAATGAGTTAGAAACTGTTTCTTCTATTTTTTTCCCCCCTTCTGTTTTTGGAAGCATTTGAGAAGAATTGGTGTTAACCCTTCTTTGAATTTGGTAGGATCCACCAACAAAGCCATCGGTGCTGGGCTTTTCCCCCGGGAAGTCACCGCGTTACTCTCGCACTGTCTTTGCTCGTGTAGGTCTATTCAGACTTTCTATTTCTTCTTGCATCAGCTTGTGTGTCTCCAGGAACGTGTCCAGTTCACCCGAGTTATCCAACATTTGCCACACGGGTGTTTGCAGTTTCCCTTTTACCCTTTTGTGTTTCTGCAGAGCGGGTAGTAAAAATAAAGAGGGAATCCCCTCTCTCATTCCTGCTTTAGTAATTTGATATTTCCCTACCTCCCCCTCTCCCATCAGTCTAGCTAAAATTAGCCCATTTTGTTTATCTCTCAAAGACCTGACGTTTGGTTTTGTTGATTTCATGGGTTTCCTGTGCTCAGAGGCCCTGGGAGGTCACCCCACAGGTGAAAGGGAAAGGACCGGAACCAGACCCACAGTCCCTCCCTCGGAGCCCCACCCCTGATGTGGCCCGAGGGTGCTGGGCGGAGGACCAGGGGAGCTTACACCAGGTTTGCTCGGCTGCCCCCAGCTGGCCCCTCCCCACAGCTCTTCCAGAAGCCAGGATTTTCCGCAACGTGGGGGTTCCGATGTCCCCATATCCCGGCCGACACCTGGAGAGCTCCTCTGCATCCCTCAAGGCCCCACTGAAACGCTCTCTTCTGAATGCAGCTTTGCCAAGGTCTTGGGCAGGAAGAGACGGCTGTGCTCTGGGGCCCCACAGCCCCTGCCCCACGGCACTGCCTGCTCTAGGTATTTGGTATTTCAGGAGCCAGCCTCCCCTCACCCCCGCCCTGCACCCGGGAGTATGCACCTTATTTGAATTAATAAACAAGCGAGGCAGCGAATGAATGAGCAATGAACTGACTGCTAAATGGATGAACAGAAGCAGCCGCGCGTCCCTCACGCTCACACATGCACAGACCACGGCAGGGTCGGCGTGACCGTCCCGACGCCACCCCGCCCGCACTAGATCCGGCGCAGCCCACACGGCCCACGTCCTTTCTTTAGCAGACATGATCCACAGGCGAGGAAACTCATTATGCACACGGAGCAAGAAAACAGAAAAGCAAAAATTAAATTAGGTGGCAGCCCTGGAAAATGCCTACTGTGCAAAACCCACAAGCTAACTAATTTGTTTGGCCTCCCTTGAAAACGGGCAGGTTTTAATTTGGGGCTCTGGGACCCGGCTCCTGGGCGCAGGCAGGCTCCGGGGAGAGGGGCGAGGCCGCGGTTTCAGATGAGCAGACCCCGATTCAATTAGGAATCCACCGTGACCCCCACTGTCCCCGCAGGCTCTCGGAGCTAATGAGGACTGGGGAAGGGGAGGCAGTGGGTCCGGGCCTGCGCGCCTCTCTCCAGCCCCTCCCGGGGAGAATCAATCAGCTCAGGACGCCGAGCCCATTGCAATTACAGGAGCTGGGGGCGCAGGCGGGATACGGTGAGAATTAATTCAGTTCTCTGGGAGCGGAGATGGCCGCCCCCTGGGCCCAATGACCAGGGAATTAGGGGGCAGGGCGGGTCTGGAGCCCCGACAGCCGTCGCAGGTCANAGAGATGGCCGCCCCCTGGGCCCAAACTGACCAGGGAATTAGGGGGCAGGGCGGGTCTGGAGCCCCGACAGCCGTCGCAGGTCGCAGCACTCGGGCTGTTCAGTTGCACACCTTTTGGGGGAGACTGATTAATAGATGTGGCAGGAGGATTTGCAATTAGGACGGACGATGTTTCCCAACAAGCAAAGCCAGCTCCACGGCGGCTGCACCGATTTCGGACGGAAAGGAGCCTGGGGGTGAGCACCCGTGGAGGAGACAGGGACCGAACCACCACCCTGTTCACTTGAAATTCGCGTAGTGTCAGTCACCAGCGTTACAGCAGCAGGTTTCAGAAAAGGAAGCGAAGCCCGGCCGGCGTGGGTCAGTGGTGGAGCATCGACCGTGAACCAAGAGGTCCCTGGTTCGACCCCCGGTCAGGGCACATGCCTGGGGTGTGGGCTCGATGCCCAGCAGGAGGCAGCCCATCAGTGTTTCTCTCCCGTCGATGTTTCTCTCTCTCCAAAATCAATTAAAAAAATAAAATACACAAAGGAAGACAAAACCGGCTGCAGTGACGTGTCCCAGATCCCGAGAACGCCCCCTACCCCCCACGGCAAGGTCAGCCTCCTGTCCACAATCCCGAGTGACCCCAACATTCCCAGAGCCCTTCAGGGCTGGCAGCACCAGGCGGTGGCACCTGGACGTGAGGACCACGGGGAAGCAAAAGCAGAAGCCTGGGGGGGTCATCAAGAGTCCCATTGTCCCCGACTACTTCTGGTCACCCCGGCTGTGTGAGTACAGCCCCCACCAGGCAGGGCCTGGGCGGCCCACTCAGCCCTGAGAGCACAGGGCGCTGGGACTAGAAGTGGAGGCAGCCACGGCCCTAGACAGTCCTAGGACACGCTCATGGCTGACACTGGCGAGAGTCCCGGATCCAATAAGCCCCCGGTCCCAAGGCAGCCCCAAGGCTCTGCTGATCCCTTCCTGGGGGCCATTCTCACCCCACCCAGGGCATGTGCAAGCCTCATGGGGACAGAGCCCTCACTCCCCTCGAGGCCCAGACACCCACCTGCTAGTGCTCTTCCGAGCGGGTGTGCACCCGGCCCTGCACTCAGCACCCAGGGAACAGAGGTGGCATGGCCTCCGCCACGGCGGACGGACCACGGCTGTGCCCTGAGAGCTGGGCAGGGCTCTCCTTCCCCCTTTGAAGACCCGGTTTTACGCAGGCCCCCACGGCGTTAACTCAGAAGGATGCTAATACGCTCGTCTCACCCACCAGATGGCTCGGCCCCGTGCAGGAGTCACCTGCAGCCCACTGCGCCAGCTCCGCAGCTCGTCCTCAGAGCCCGAGGGCCCGGGCCAGAGGGCGCCCGACGCCTGCCAGACCCGGTGGGAGGAGCCCAGCACCTGGGGGGCAGCTGCAGCCAGAGACTGCCTGTGATGGACACACAGGTACCACAGGGCATCCTGCAGATGGCAGGACACCTAGTGCCCTCTGCCCACAGCAGAACCTGGAGCCACAGTCTGCCAGGCAGCAAATCCCCACGAGCTCGCTGGGGACCCTGGCTCCCTGCCACCGGCTGCCCCCTGGACACCCCACCATATGCACAAGCCAATACTGCCCCGGGACAGTAGTGCTGGAGACACTGTCCAGCCTGAGGCCAGAGCCAGAGAGCGTCTGGGGGTGTGGCCGTGTCAGGCGGATGCCCGCTGGGCACGCAGCTTCCTGGCCTTCCCGGGGTCCCTGGGCTCTTACCGTCCACACAGGCGGGCCGGGCCCTGGTAGTGCCCGCGATCTGCCCCTTTCTGCATGCACAGCGAGCGGTCTGCCGGGCAATCGTCCTCCGAGGCTGGCTGCTGTCCCGGTCCAGGGTCACAATCTCACAGGTGCCGGCGGCCAGCTGACCTGCAAGAGAGGCACAGAGTGGGCTGAGTGGCCTGGTCCCGGAGACAAGCACCAGCCGTCCCGGCCCTGCAGCTGGACGCCCGCCCAGTGCCCACCCTGCAGAGGGGCCAGGGGGCCGCTCCCCTCAGACCTCAGAGGATGCCCTCAGAACCACGCCCATAAAAGCTGCGCCAAGGTCTGGCTGCCATCCTGGCCACCCGCAGTGGTGGTGCCCCAGGNTGCCCATAAAAGCCGCGCCAAGGTCTGGCTGCCATCCTGGCCGCCCGCAGTGGTGGTGCCCCAGGCCGGGGGCAAGGCCTCGGACACGGGCGCCCTGGCGCTGTCCGTGGTGCTGACAGGTGACAGTCTCATCGCTTTAGGGGACACGGCTCAGCCCAGTCTCCCCAGACAGGCCCCCTTCACACTCCCGCCCTGTGCTCAGCTCATCTATAAAGTGCTGCATACGCCACGAGGGAACATTTTTGCAAACCCTGGGGGAAAACACTTAGAGACCCCTAAGAGCAGCAGGACGGGACCGGCATGCGGACGACGGCGAGGCGGCTCCGGCACCACTTAGGCCGGTGACGGGTGGAAGGGGCAAGCTCCCCCCTCCCCGCCTCCCGCAGACCTCGGCGCGTGTGGGGAGTTTCGTCCTAAGTGTGAAACAGCACCAGACGGAAGCTGCGCCCGTGGAGCTTGGCGAGGACACACTGGTCACGCAGGCAAAGGCCCAGGCTCAGAGCCAGCGACGGGGCTGCTGCTGTTACTGGTTTCACCGCGGGCACCACTCACCAGACCATGTGGCTGGAGGCCACGAGCCCAGGCGGGGAGGGAGAGCCCAGGGGGCCAGGAGCCCGAGACCACCCGCGCCAGGCTCTCGGGGGCACACACGTGCGGGCACCCCCCCCGCACCTCCGAGGTGCCCTGCTCTCCTTCCACAGGCACCTGAGGGCACCCGGCCTCACCCAGCACCGGCGGTGTGTGAGCGAGGCCTCCGTATCCCCGGGAGGGGGTCAGGCAGGTCTGAGAGACGACACGTGGTCCGGACCATCCCCTCTGCTCAGAATCACACTCGGCTCCCACGGGCCCAGCACCCAGCACACTCACCCACGTGCCGCCCGCTGGCCAAGGGCACCAAGGTGACAACTGGCGCTGCCCAGCACAGGGCGAGGAGCCCTCTGCCCCTCTGCCAGATCGAGCTGTGCCATGCTGACACTGGGGCGTCCTGGCCTGGCACAGGACCCCTCTCCTGACGCCCGTGGAAGATGGCGCCGACTCGGGCTCAGCCTCGGCTCCGGCCTGAACCCACAGGGCTGTCCGCAGGCTGCGGGCTCGGGACCTGCCTCTGGCCCAGGCCCAGCGAGTTGGGTCCCCACCCAGAGCGGGTCCGGGCTCCCTCGCCCACGCCCAGCGTCTCCCACATGGGCACCGCCGCCCGCATCGGAGCTGCCCGCCGCTCCCCTCGGCGCCGCGCTCACAAATGAAGTGGCTGCTGTCTGGTTTTATCCCTGGTCACGCAGACAGTGCGCACCAGGATTAAAGGCTGCAGGGGGGAGCGCTCTTTTTTTTAAAATCCTCACTCGAGGGTTTTTCCCGCTGCTTTCAGGGAGAGCGGAAGGGGGAGAGCCATCGATGCGAGAGCCACGCCGGCCGGCTGCCTCCTCACTCGCTCGGCCGGGGCCGGGGACCGAGCCTGAGGTACGTGCCCTTGGCCGGGAATCGAACCTCAGACCCTTCGGTCCGCGGCCGGCGCTCCAGCCACTGAGCCGCGCCGGCCAGGGCAGGAGAAAACGCTCCTTAAACGGCACCGGGTGCCACAGGCTCAGCCCCGGAGCTCCACTGGGGTCAGACTCCCCTCTGGGTTTGGCTTCAGCAGAGCCGGCTCTGGACGGCGGCAGGTCCCAGTCCCTCCCGGGGACGGTGCGGGACGCCCAGGGTTATCTCTGCGCGACCTCCTGTGAGGCGCGGTAAGGAAATGAGGGGAAACCCGAGCTCGCAGGAGGCGCCTCCCCGGGCCCACGCAGCTCAGGCCTCCAGGGGACCGTGGCCAGGCCCACAGGCTGCGGGGTCGGCCCTGGGCTGTCTTTCCCTTGTAAGGCTGGGTCCGGGAACTGCAGGCCCGGCCCCTCGCTCAGGGGAGGATCTGGAGGGGAAGGTCGTGCCAGGGGCAGGGGCAGGGTCAGACCCCCGCCTGGGCGGCGGGCAGCTGCTGGGCGGTGCCTGCGGGGAGAGGCGGGCACGCCAGCTGCTGCCGCCAAAGGCCCNTGGTGGAAACCACAGGGCAGGGCCACCAGCTCCTGAGACCCGGAGCCACCAGGCCTGGGCCCAGCGCCTGGAGACACCTCTGTGGCCACCACAGCCCAGCACCTTCATCGCGCCCGCAACGGACAGTTCCCTGGGCCTCTGGGCCTCGTCCACGCTGCCTCTCTGGCTGGAAGCCCGAGTCAAGCTCAGCACACCCTAGATCAAGAGGCGCCCCTGAAACTGCCCAGCCCGAGGTCAGGAGCCCACAGCCACCTCAACTTGTTCCTGGGCCCCTTTGGCGCCCCCTCCTCCCAGATGACCTTCCCCACTCATGCCCGGGATCTGGGAGACCACGGGTGGGACTGGAGAGCTCAGGTGTGGAGGAAGCAGGGGGCCAGGTTCCCCACGCAATTCACGGGGGGCCGGGGCTGCCTGTGACTTCCTCGCTCTGGCACAGAGTCCCTGGGTCCGGACCCACCGGGCAGTTGGTCCCACAGCCATCCTGCCCTGGCCTTGCTTCCCGGGGGGGGGGAG